AAAAAAAAAAAAAAAAAAAAAAAAAAAAAAAAAAAAACTAAACCTTTCAAAAAAAAAGCATGCAACAAAATTACTAAAACTTTAATTAAAATTAAAATGAAACTTATTTTAAAGTGACAAAAAAAAAAAAAATCTAATTATTATTATTAAAAATAAATATTATTAAATGAAATATTATTATATTTTGAAAAATAAATCTAAATATTAATAAAAAGTATAATTGTATCTCTAAAGTAACACTGATATTTTGATGCACTGTAACTCCTTCAGGACTCTTTACTTTGAGGCTGATTCTTATGAAAAGATTTTCAATGAAGTGAAGCCTGATTTAATTTTAGATATTTAAACAAACAAACAAAACATAAAAGATTATTTTTTATTTGTTTTATATTTATATAGTTTAGTCATTTATTAATTTTCTTTTTTCTTTTTCACTTGTCTCTCAGCACGAATGTAGCCATGTTAGCTGGCTAAGTTCTAAACACCTCAGATGAATATTTCACCTTCACCTGTGCGTGGCGCTCTGTTACTCGTGTTGTACGTGATTAGCTTCCCCAGTGTGTGTGTTTGTGTGTGTGCGTGTGTGTATGTGAGTGTGGATGTGTGTGCGTGTGTGTGTGTGTGTGTGTGTGTGTGTATGTGCGTGCGTGTGTGTGTGAGTGTGTGTGTGTGTGTATGTGCGTGTGTGTGTGTGTATGTGCGTGTGCGTGTGCGTGTGTGTGTGTGTGTGCGTGTGCGTGTGTGTGTGTGTGTATGTGCGTGTGTGTGTGCTTGCAGGCGCTGCTGGAGCTGGTGTTCGGGGTGAAGGTGGTGATCACGGGCGACGGCTTCGTTCCCGGCGAGCGCAGCGTCATCATCATGAACCACCGCACGCGTCTGGACTGGATGTTCCTGTGGTGCTGTCTGCTGCGCTACAGCTACCTGCGTCTGGAGAAGGTCTGCCTCAAAGTGGCGCTCAAGGCTGTGCCCGGCTTCGGTGAGTCCACACAGTCATTACCAATGAAGCAGCCCCGGGGCGAGCGTGACGGTGTCCCTGTGTGTGTGCGCAGGCTGGGCCATGCAGGTGGCCTGCTTCATCTTCATCCGGCGGCGCTGGGAGGAAGACCGCGCTCACATGGCCAACATGCTGCAGTACTTCTGCCACATCAAGGAGCCGCTGCAGCTGCTGCTGTTCCCCGAGGGCACCGACCTCACCGGTGAGAGACACGGACACTCTGCTGCTAACCAGAGCTAGCTTCAGATAGAAGTGTTAGTCCATTCAGTCATCAATGACTCGCTCAGACTTTCATTTGGAACACAAACTTATCAACCATCGTTTTTGTCCATTCTTTGAAAGTCTACATAATCAACATATTCAAGCTTCAGAAAGTACATAAAGACATCATAAAAGTGATCTGTATGAATCCAGCGGTTTAATCTAAGCCTTCTGAAGAGATCGCTTGATAAACCTCATATGTGACCCTGGAGCACAAAACCAGTCATAAGGGTCAATTTCTCGAAAGTGAGATGTATGCATCACATGAAAGCTGAATAAATCAGCTCTCCATTGATGTATGGTTTGTTAGGAGAGGACAGTATTGGGCTGAGATGCAACTATCTGAAAATCTGGAATCTGAGGGTGCAAAAAAATCTAAATATTGAGAAAATCATCTTTAAAGTTGTCCAGATGAAGTTCTTAGCAATGCATATTACTAATCAAACATTAAGTTTTGATATATTTACGGTAGGACATTTACTAAATATCTTCATGGAACATGATCTTTACTTAATATCCTAATGATTTTTGGCATAAAAGAGAAATGTATAATTGTGACCCATACAATGTATTGTTGGCTATTGCTACAAATATCCCCCAGCGACTTAACACTGTAACGTATGTAACATATAACGCACATGAGAACAAATTTGTTATTCGCCGGAATGAACAGGTAATTTTATAAAATGTAGATCACGATCTTCACAGCTGTTAAAAAGATGAAGGCAATTATCAAAGTTTGATAAAATGTGGTTTCATTTTCCAATAAAAGATGATCATTGTTTACATGATTCGTTACATTAATTACCCTTTAGCTACGGAAGAGGATTAGGGCCAAGCAATAATAAAAAACAAAACCATCTCGAGATTAAAGTCATTATAATGCGAGACGTTTTATTTCGAGTTTAATCTCGCATTATAATGACTTTAATCTCGAGATGTTTTTATTTATTTTATTATTGCTTGGCCCTAATCCTCTTCCGTACTTCACTCTTATATGTGAATAAATTAAATCTATTCATTATGTGTACAAGAGTGGGTTTGGTCACTTCTAACTTGAACTTGAGTCTGTTTTGCTGCTTGATGTTGCAAACCGGTATATTATTTCTAGGGATGCACCGATATGAAAATTTTGGCCGATACCGATAACCGATTATTCTTTATTTTTGAAAGCCGATAACCGATATGTTGGCCGATAAATCTATATCCAAATTGTTATATACTTTTTGAGAGCCTGATTACAAAAAAGGTCTCATCATTAAAAGTCACATCCCAAACACTTCAACATAAGCAGCCTAGTTTGAACGGTGTACGTTTTAAAAATATTTTTACTCTCCCATTACCAAATTTAGTCATAAAAAAGTCTTACAAATAAATAAAATTATGCATAAATAATGCAAACAAGTCACTGGACATCATTACACGTGTAAAGAATCAAAATGAATGCGCCACAGATCAATAAAACGGAATAGCCTCTGCACGGACAATAATTAAATGATTTTAATTACTAAACCATATTGTTGATGAAAATAATAAGAGAAAAATACAAGTGGTTGTTGTTATTAATAATATATCAATGATTTTGAAAAAGTAACAAATTAATACCACTGTTTTAAATAGCAGCCGTTGAGCTGCGCGTGCTGAAGCTGAAGAGCTGAATGAACATGGTAAACTGAAGCGTTTTGCTGGCAGCTTATTTAATTCAAGGAAATGCATCCTGAGATTAATATTAATACAACATAAACATAATATTACAACTTATATATGTACAAAATTATGCAGTTATTGCGTGCTATAGTCAGAATGTGTGATCCTGTTGTGGATGCGCTCTTCCCATAACAACGCGCTGAAACATGGCAACTAAACCCAAAGAATTCACAACGTTTTATTATAATAATGTTCTCATTAGAATGTTATATACATGACATTCCCAATCATAGTTATTAATGTTGTGCACTGCTGTTTGGGCTGCGTGTGCTGAGCTAAAGATGATCACTGGTAAACTGAAGCGCTCTTTTAACTTAACCAAACGCATTCTATATGAGATAAATCAGATATACATCAAATAAACACAATATTACAATGTACAATTGCACAAAAGGCTGCAAACGAACAGCGCGCATCTGAAGTGTCTCTGAAGGAAATAATGCATTATTTATCGGCTTTAAGATATCGGCCAAATTTTCTTATCAGGCCGATACCGATAACAGAAAAAATGGGCCGATATGGGCCGATACCGATATGGTGGCCGATATATCGTGCATCCCTAATTATTTCAGCTTATTATTTGCACAGATATTTCTCGCTCTTACTGCACTGTTTTTATTCTAGTCATTTACAAGTGATTAATGAATCAGAAATCTTGCACATTCTCAAGAAATAGTTTACTTGTGCAGATTATCTGTGTCCCTGCAGCACAAAAGCAGTGTTGAGTCGCTGGGGGATATTTGTAGCAATAGCCAACAATACATTGTATGGGTCACAATTATACATTTCTCTTTTATGCCAAAAATCATTAGGATATTAAGTAAAGATCATGTTCCATGAAGATATTTAGTACATCTCCTACCGTAAATATATCAAAACTTAATGTTTGATTAGTAATATGCATTGCTAAGAACTTCATTTGAACAACTTTAAAGATGATTTTCTCAATATTTAGATTTTTTTGCACCCTCAGATTCCAGATTTTCAGATATTGTCCGATCCTAACAAACCATACATCAATGCAAAGATTATTTATTTATTTAGAAAATTTGACCCTTATGACTGGTTTGATCAGAAGAGCTCGTTTAAGAGAAATCATTTTAAACCTTCAACCTTTAAAATCTGCATCTGATTTGTTTTTGTGCAGAAAACACCCGCGCCAGGAGCGACGAGTTCGCCGAGAAAAACGGTCTTCCCAAGTACGAGTATGTTCTTCATCCTCGCACCACCGGCTTCACCTTCATCGTCGACACGCTGCGGAAAGGTCAGAGGTCATCAGCGCTCTGCATCATTAGTTCAGAGGATCGAATTAGTCCAGCGTAGATGTTCGTCAGAGCTCAATCTAAACTCATACAGAAGAGTATGGCGCTTGCAACACCAGGGTCATGGGTTCGATTCCCAGGGAATGCGTGTACTGATAAAGTGTAAAGCTTCATGGCCTAGTTCTGGCTTTGCCTGATGATTATTATTTCTGTTGGCAGGTGATAACCTGGACGCTGTGCATGATATCACGGTGGCGTATCCTCAGAACATCCCTCAGACGGAGCGGCACCTGCTCCTGGGTCTGTTCCCGCGAGAGATCCACTTCCACGTGCGGCGTTTCTCTGTGGCGTGTCTGCCCTCGAGCGCGGAGCAGCTGCAGCGCTGGTGTCAGGAGCGCTGGCGAGAGAAAGAGCAGCGTCTGTGTGCCTTCTACCGCTCCGAGCCGCGCCGCTTCGACCAGCCCGAGGCCCGCGTGCCGCCCTGTAAGAGCCAGCTGAGAGTGGCGCTGATCAAAGCTGCGTCGCTGCTGTACTGGAGCAGCTTCATCACGCTCTGCTGCGCCGGCCTGTGGCTCTGGACCCCCCTCAGACTCTACTTCCTGCTGATGGTCATCTTCTTCCTGTGTCAGCAGCGGGTCACGGGTGGAGTGGAGCTGATGGAGCTGGCCTGCCACCGGCACTGGAGCGGCGGGAGATCGCTGGAGCTGAAGGAGGAGTGAGAGACGCTTGTGTATGTAAGCCCAGCCACAGCGCCTCCTGCTGGAGGAGAGGATGAAGCGCAGCCTGCGGGAGCCACGCACGAGGGACCAGACGCATCAGCAGTCATCACTGTCGTACCTCCTTATACTCTTTCAGGTCTTTGTGATTCTCGTTTGCTTTAGTGGCTCAAATCCAAACCACTTACAGCCATATTTTAAAGAATTGTGATATTTTATTTGGTTGCTTTGGTGCATTTATGTTCTGTAGTTACGGAACACAGCCATAGCACATTAGCTTTGAAAGATAATGTCATAAAGGAAAATCCGTTCATCAGCAGCGCGTGGTGTTGTCATGCATGGCTGCAGTTAATGTGACAGAAACGCAGCGATGAAGCCGAACGCTGGTTTCTTCAGCTGGAAGCGGCATGTGACGTTCTCAGACGATCCTCGTGTAAATCAGGGCTGAGGTACCGATATAACAGCTGACTGAACCGAACCTCCCGACCTCTGACCTCTCATCGCTGCTGCCCATAACTATTAGTGTGGTGCTGAGCTGTTTGAACTGGTTTAGTGTCAGTGGTGAAGACCGGCTCACTGTGATGGAGATCCGTGTCTGTATTCACACGCGTGTTTCTCCTCATACACACGTCACTGTCACTATCACTCAGGTATATTCAGTCACTGTAACTAACCAATAAATCAATACGCCAATAAATCCATCTTCTGTGTTCCTTTATGAGCTTTCGGTCACGTGTTCACATGAAGGGCTCAGACGTGTCTCTGAATCAGACGTGTGAAGTCTGAATGTGTGAGATTTTGGTTTATTTCGCTTCAGCATCATGTCTCTTCTTTCAGACTAGTGGAGAGAAAACATCCCAGATACACATTGAAGTGCTCCTGTTATTGCGCTTTATCTATCTGCATCTGTAGATTTCAATCTTTAAAGAGTTTTTCTTTTCACACTGATTTATACAGCATTTTACTCCTGAAAACACGGTGAAAATGACTGTATTTTCTGATTTATGGAGCGATAACAAGAGAAATCCAAAAGTCAACAAAATCGAACCTGACTTTATCCAACGTTCAGATTTGTGTTCTGGAAATGTATGCACATATTTAATTACACAATGCTTCGTTTGCATATTCAGAAATAAAATTTCAGAAAACTTGTAATATAAAAAATACGTGCGGTTCTTAATGTGAAAAGCATGATATCTGTCAGTGAATTAGTGTTACTTTAACAGAGCATACTGAAGGTGATGGAGAGAATCACCAGACGTCTGAAGGTGAGGCGGTTGCCGTGACGACAGATGGTGCTCGGTGGTTGCTTAGTAACGTGATGTAGGAGCTCAGTCCTCTGCTGACGGGATTCGAGCATGTGAGCGGATGGGAAACAAACACACGGGATCTGAGGAGCAGCACAAGAATCAACACAGACAGGCTTTCCTCTGTCACTTTTAAGGATCATCTTTGCGCTCTTTGTGGTCTTCCAGAAGCATCAGGATTTTATGATTAAAATAAATGTAATAATTAGTGCAAGAAATGATAAATCTGAGAATCGCGTCTCATAAGCTTTAGTCTGAATCTGTGGACTGAAGTGTAACTGTTCCCAGTGCTTCATTCAGTTTCTGCCCTTTACACTGCTGGCTAAATGAAGTGTTGGTGATTTCTTCAGTCCGAGCAGAAGATGTGTGACTGTGAGAGCCTCTCTGCTGCTTGCATCACATCTGAACACACCAGCACCATGTAGTCACTCTTCAGAGACCCGTCCGGTCGCAGAGGTCACGGGGTCACAGCAGATCTGACTCTGACAGGAGAAAAATGTGTTCAATGCTGATCGTTCAGCTCGTGAGACAGCATTCCACACACTTTCAAGAGACAGAAACTGCATTAAACAGGTCTGAGAGCTGTGGGCTGTGAAAGCGGACTTTTATACAGCGCAGATGTCAGCACTGTAAGTCAGACTCGTTTTCATACTGGTCCGTCCTGCCTAAACTCCATCAGCTGGCTCTTCTGTTTAATCTGAGTCTGAGCAGTTTGGGTTTCTGGTGAACTGGTTTTCATACGCACCAATAGCTCTAAAAAATAAAATATTCGTTTGATAGTTGTCAGTATTGAATCTGTAATGATGATGAAGGTGTTTTTGTCTCCACTCACACTTAATATTCAATGTGTTTTGTAGGACTGTGTTTGATTGGCTGTTGTGTTTGGCCCCTCCCCCTTTTCACAGCTTTCCACGCCCACTTCTTGAGTCTGAAACAGCAGGTGAGGTTTGGTGTCATCTCAAACACAGATCAGTGTCGTTCTCCACCGCCTCACTAGCTTCTGAGACACACCTGCTTCATCAGTGTTTAACCAGCAGCTGCTCTCTGGTGTGTTCTGATGCTTCTGCTTCCAGGAAGCTACAATGGTTTCTCTGAATGGCAGTGAGTTCGTGTGACGCCTTCAGCCTCTTCCATTATTAATAATCCGACACTGTCATGTGTTTACTGATACTCAGTGGAAATTAATAACTGGGCTTTAGATTGGACTATTATGAATAACTGACAGAAAAACAGAAATTAAAGAAATCTTCCCTTCATCTGAAAGTCACGTGACTGATGTTCATGTACAGGTGTGTGAGAGAGAGAGTGTGTGAGACACTGATCTGAGGTCAGACTCGTGTATGTGTGTATGTGTGTGTGAGAGAGAGTCACTGATCTGAGGTCAGACTCGTGTGTGTGTGTGTGTGTGTGTGTGTGAGAGAGTGTGTGTGAGAGTGTGTGTGTGTGTGTGTGAGTGAGTGTGTGTGTGAGAGAGAGTGCGTGTGTGTGTGTGTGAGAGTGTGTGTGAGAGAGTGTGTGTGTGTGAGAGAGAGAGAGTGTGTGTGTGTGTGTGTGTGAGAGAGTGTGTGTGAGAGTGTGTGTGTGTGTGTGTGAGTGAGTGTGTGTGTGAGAGAGAGTGCGTGTGTGTGTGTGTGAGAGTGTGTGTGAGAGAGTGTGTGTGTGTGAGAGAGAGAGAGTGTGTGTGTGTGTGTGTGTGAGAGAGTGTGTGAGAGAGTGTGTGTGTGAGAGAGAGTCACTGATCTGAGGTCAGACTCGTGTATGTGTGTGTGAGAGTGTGTGTGAGTCACTGATCTGAGGTCAGACTCGTGTGTGTGTGTGTGTGAGAGAGAGAGTGTGTGTGTGTGTGTGTTCTCTGCTGCCCTCTAGCGCTGCATGTCTGTCTGTGATTAGAGTTGAGGTGTGTTTGAGACGCTGCAGTTTCTCCACACAACAGCCGATCATCAGGTGAATATTCAGCTTAATAAACAGACCAGTTCACGTCCATTCAGATCTGTTCACTCAGAAAGGCTAAATCTGAATACAACCAGCACGTTTAATATTAGTGTATACAGTTTTAAAGTTTGATTTTACATTTGATTGTCTTTCAAACACACACACACACACACACACACACACACAGAGACACTCACAAACACACAACAACTAAATATCAATTAATTCTGTGTTTCCCTGAATTACCAATAAGTTATAAAGATTAGGCTATTAAGAGCAAAAGGTAATGAATAACAATAAGGAATGTAAATATGCTATTGGTATCTCATAAAACCATATCCAGATCGAATTTCACCCCAAAATCAAAAGAAGCGAATTAAATATTATTATTATTTAAATTAAAAAACAGTCGTGAGGAGGAGTTAACACAGAGTCTGTGTGTTCGGTGGGATATCATGGCACTGTTTCTCAGAACCGGCTGGCATTCAAAACCCCTGTGCTTGTAGTCCGGGGCGAAGCTTCTGCAGAAACAGCGTTAGAGCTTGGTGCATTTGTCAGATCTGTGCTCGGTGTGTTTCTCTGGCAGCATGTGGAGGGCCAGGTCTCCCGAGGCAGGAGGACAGCAGGGCATCTCTCCGTCGGCGCGCTCCAGCTGAACCGTGACGCTGTGGACGCCGGCGCGCTGGAACAGCTGCTGGATCTGCGTCTGAAGAGCCGGGTCCTGCAGGTCAGCAGATACTTTGACGTGCAGCGAGGCCACGTTACGTCCTTTAGATAACTCCCAGACGTGAGCCTCGTGAACGCTGGCCACGCCGGGGAGTCTGCACACGCTCTCCACTGAGACAGAGACACACAGCTTCAGCACGAGCGAGACAGGGACATTACATCTACTGTAAAATCTGCAGAAACAGACATTTCCTTCTGCCCTCAGTGTAAAAAAACATCTTCTGGTGTTGTAAATTACAAGTTATAAACCGATAGTTCCGGTGCTTGATTCTGATTCTGCGTTCGAAGCTGTTGTGAAATGTTGCTAAAATAGCTTTACAAGTTTTACAATACCATTTCAGCCTTTCTACTTCAAAACGCATGGTACTTGTTGTTTCTTTGTAAGTATTTGTGAAATTTAGATAATTGTCTCTACACTATTTTATTCCAGTGAAAAGGCCCGTTCAACACATAACTACAATGATAAAGTTTAGAAAACCATTCTAAATTTGAAAGAATAGCCACACCACAACTACAACAATAACAGCACAGATGAATGCTAGAGCTGGAATCCCATTCTGAACGACTTTATTCCAGCTGATGAACGATAAAAACATCGACAGCCAATCAGAATCCATCCTGCTTTAAGCAAGCATTTAAAGGGACGGATGACAAAACTGCAGCTGGCTTACAATATTAACAATAAACGCTGGTCTGCATGCTAATATATCCTTCTGTGAACGGCCTGTCCTTCATGTTAACGTGGTGAACCTGACTGTATTTATGACTGTATTTATGCGGCGTGTGTAAAAGGTAATGTGTCCCTAACACTATGCACTTATTCTTTGTACTCCGCATCTAGAGCTGCAGAACTCCAGTAATTAAAACTGCGACGGTCCAATATCGGTTAATTAAGTGCATGATCTGGGCTTTAGAAGTGCACTTTATCTTTTTAGAATAATCACACTATACTAAAAAACGTCAAAGCATCGTGCAAAAGTATGTGAGCTGCTGTATAGAGACATGAACTCACAGACTGCGGTGAGCGGCAGGTCGGCAGGACTCATCTGCAGCAGGATCCCAGCCGTTTCTTTGACCAGAGGAGCAGCTGACAGCATGATGATGACCACCATGACCAGCGTCAGACTGGGGTCCACGTAACACTGCCAGTTACACGGGCTCTCAGGGGCCAGGGGCCACACGTAGAACAGAGCCGAGGCCACCACCACCACCACCGAGCCCAGCGCGTCATTCAACACATGCAGCAGCACGCCTGCGGAGAGAGAGACACGCTCACAAACACACCAGACTCACTGCTGCTGAGCGCTGAGAGCAGCCACACACTCACCCCTGATGTTCAGAGGAGGCCCGTCGCTCCCAGCCTTCTCCTCCTGCAGGCCTGTGGACCATAACACACAATCCATGACAAACATACAGACACCTCCCAGCTCTGTGAGAGAGTCAAACATCACAGCTCTTGTGCATCAGCACACCTCAGATTACAGTCAGAATCCAGACAATACTGTATTTTAGTAATTAATGCATCCTAGATAGCACACATGTTTTCAACTGAAAGATGTATTTTTTAGAGTGTTTGCTCGTCTGCGGTGCATCTATGAGATGTTTCCTTTCGCATGGTTTTTGCAGGTGAATTTAAGATCATGCACAGACAATTTAAGCAGCAAATTTCAATGCAGCACAGTACGTCAGTATGGACTTCTATGGACAGATCTCCATTACTTTTAAATTCATTAGACAAAAAATATACTAAAATAACTTATACTGTATAGCTTCTGTTCACACTGCAAAAAAGTGATGTCTTGTTTTCCAGTACATTCACTGGAGAAGCAGAGCTATTAGGCCTGAGTCTTGTTTTATGAGAAACTGATCAAAATCATGTGAGTTTACAATTAAAACCAACAAATATCTGTCAATGCGCTCAGAAAAATTAAAGTGAAAGCAAGTTTTCATTCTCCATGGACAGACATTTGTTCTGGTTTTAATCGTGAATGCACTTCATTTTGTTCAGTTTCTCAGAAAACAAGACTTCATATTTTCATTTTGCATGTCCAGTAAATTTATCTTGATATTTAGTTTAGATATTGCTCCGGTTGCTTACGTAACCTGGGTTCCCCGAGATAAGGGCACAAGCGTTGCGTTGATCACGCTCTGGGGAAACTCCTGTTTACTCTGATACTGAAGCCTGATTGGATCATGTTCGTGTAGCTGCAGGAACCAATGGCGCTTTAAGCTGCTAAAAGTGGACCGGTGCTGAGTTCTGACTGATGAGCTGATCTGCTTGACTGGATCACGGTGATCGCACGTTAATGCCAAGTGTAAACACTGCCTAAACAGGAGTTTCCCCAGAGCGTGTTAACGCAACGGGAAAGACCGTCAGAGGGGGAACAAGACAGAAATACTGAGGAAGATATTCTTTTTTTTTTTTGCAGTGCATTTAACATTTAATGGCATGACTTTATGAATTTAAGACTTTCTGCTCTGATTTAAGAGCTTTTAACTTCCTGGAGGGCTGGAGGCCTGCAGAGCTCAGATCCAACCCTAATTAAACACACCTGATCCAACTAATCAAGTAGGGATGTAACGATTAACGGTTTGACGATAAATCATGATAAAATTCCCCACGGCTATTATTACCGTTTCATCTTTAAATTATCATTAAAACCGTATTAGATTACCGCGATTGGAACAACTCGAGATAAATAAACACTGTCCAGCATAAAGCACAGGTTTCAGTGACAGTCTCAGGTGCGCACAGCACACAGAGTAGTGTAGTTTTGAGTGAAAACAGGGAGGAAAAGCTGGGAGGTTTTAAAAGAATTATACAAATGAATATATGAATGAATTAATTATATGAATGTACCTCTGAAGGCTCTGACTGTCTTCAGAAACGATGGCATTTGTTTTCATCTTCTCTCCATGTAATACCTAAAGGAAGAGTTTTAATCGCAGTGCTGCTTTGTGCGCGGAGGTTACGGGAAACAGCTGTAATTCAGCTTTCCCATCAGCGCCACCTGCTGCCAGCGAGTGCATTTACAGAGACCTATATTCACATTCAGCCTGTGTGCAGCTTCTGTCTGGCCACAAACGGGCCGAATTTGCACGCCCTGCTGTAAATTTTGACTGGTTGATGAAAAACAAGCTTATGTGGATTCTACACATTTAAACAATTCAGATAAGTTATCTAGAATTATTTATGGAGCAGATAAAATACATAATCATTTATTAATCAATTATCATTTTGACTTATATCGTTTCTTTATTTAAAGGCTGAAATGTGAGGTTTACCGTTTTATGAAACGTTTTCAAAGCTTTATTTGAACATTTACGTGAGATATTTCAACACGCTATTAAACTGTTGTCAGTCAAGTTGTCATTTAAAATCCGAACATCATTGGTAATGTTATTGTTTTAGTGATCATGCAAACAAAAAGTCATTTTATTTGTTGTTTGTTGATTTTTAAATATAAAACTCGGTGAAGTGATTTATGTGAACATCTCCAGCACATTTGAACAATACCGCGATAATTATCACGATTATAATCGTGATAGGAAATTTTCATACCGTTAAATCAAGCCCTTCAGGCTGATTTGAAAACTACACTGCTGTGTTGGAGCAGGATTGAGTTTGACACCCCTGCTTTAACTTGTGAACAAAGACTTTTCAAGGAGTCCGCAGAAACCCTGCTGTCAGATCTTAAATAGACATGTAGAAAAATAAGATGCTTATGATTTCGGATGAGTGCAAAACTAACTTTTTTTGTTTATCGGATGTTTCTGCACACAGCAGATGCTTCCCAGATGATGCGCTCTTTAAAAGGCATCTAAACAGCTGTGACGCTGCTAAACACGAAGCGTTACGATCAGCACCTGTTTCTTCCTCCTCCTCCTCCTCCTCGCGCGGCACTGACGCGTCGTTCCGTCGCGTCGCGCGCAGGCAGCTGCAGTCCTGGAAGATCAGCAGCCCGAGCACGTTCACCGCGAGCCCCAGCGAGCCCACGATCAGCACCAGCGGCGGGTCATCGATGGCCTGCGGCATGGCGAGCCTCTTCAGCGACTCCATGGACACGGAGAAGCAGAGCGCGGCGAGGAACACGGCGTTAGCCAGCGCGCCCACCACCTCCGCGCGGCCCATGCCGTACGTGAAGCGCCCCGAGCCCGCGCGACGCGACACCCGCGCCGCCGTCAGCCCGACGCACAGCGACAGAATGTCCGACAGCATGTTGAAGGAGTCCGACACCAGCGCGATGGAGTTGCCCATGTACCCCGCCACGATCTCCGCCACGAAGAAGATGACGGTGATGACCAGCATCAGGATCAGGCGGCACGTCTTGCCGCTGTAGCGCCCCATGATCGCGTGCGCTCAGCTCGGATGGAGATGCGCGGAGCTCTCAGTCTCATCACCTGTCGGCCTCGCGTCGCCGATCATGAGTTGGCACTTCTGCACGCGCTGATGACTCGCTTCAGGTCTCCAGTGACTCCTGCGAGGATTCTTCACACCCGAAACAGCGCGCGTCGCCGGATTCTTCTCATTGTCACCTTTGGACACTCATCCAGCTGGCTTTTTCTGCTGACAGACTGCGCTCTAAGGGTTAGTTAGTTCCATGCAGGTCAGCGGGGTTGTTTATCCACCCAGCATCATGCGTACTGTAAACGCAGTCACACATTAAACAGCCTTTGGCACACACGAGCTAGACTTTCGTCTGGATTCATAAACCTTTCTTATCTAATGAACTTACTAATCTTCTACTTGGCAAGATTTTTTTTCTCCTGTCCTCAAACAAATGAAATCTGTGCAAGCGTATTCTATTAGGTGTGTTTAAATAGGCTACTATGTAGTTATTAATACAGCAGTGCATTGCTGGGTGATGTACCTGTTGTGTTGGGTGATGTTTGGGGAGGGATCCGGGTGAGGCTAGGGGTGATATGGTGATATGGTGAGGTCAGCAGTGTGAGATGTGAGAAATTAATTACAGATGCTATTTTCAATTATAAGCACAACGTAAAAACATGTATGTGCACCATAAGTGCACTGGATCAAGTTATTAATTTAAATGTAAGGACATTTAATATAAAGTGGGTCCGGTAAATTAATTAACTGCATAACAGGATTTCTGAAATGTTCTGTTTCAACTTGCAAATGAGGCGTGGTCTAATTAAATATGCACTCATTTGCATACATTCCTAGAACACAGATCTGAACATTAGCTGAAGCCAGGTTTAAAAGGGTTTTGTTGACACGTGAGAGTTTTTGATTTCTTTTTATCGCTCCATAAATCAGAAAATGCTGCCAACAGACAGAAAACGAACACGCTTTCACCGTGTTTTCAGGATGTTAAAATGCTGTAGACATCAGTGTGAATGAACTATGAACAAACCTTCAGAATATAGAGAGGAATAAACCTGTAAAGCTTGCTGTTTAAACTCTTTAAAGATTGAAATCTGCTATCAGATAGATAAAGTGCAATAAAAGGAACACTTCAATGTGTATGTTTTCTCTCCACTAGCCTGAAAGAAGAGCCGTGATGCTGAAGCACAGGTAAAGCAGTGGCAGTGTCTGCAGTGTACGTGCACAGGGCTGGAGTGACGGCGAAGGCAAGATGACACCGCTCTGTCACCTGTAGTTAGAGCTCAGGTGATCCGTGTGAACCTGTAGCTGAGCTTTACTCCATCTGCTGGAGCAGACACACTGTGACACTTCACATCAGCGATACATTTGTGACAGATTTGACTCCTCTTTATGTGAGTTAAACCTGTTCATTGCTAGCTCATGTCAGCTCAGCTCCATTAAATAATATTCATAGATACAGCTTTTGATTTTAATCGTGTACTGGTAGATGCACAGAAATTACCATTAAAATTAAAGAATGCTATAGAAGTGTTTTTCAATGTTCAACACGTGGAACCTTATTGTAAAGTGTCACTGATTTCTTGAAATACTAGGAAGAGAAATTGCACTTTAGGAAATGATTTATTCTTCAAGTCAGACATCAAATATAACACAATGAACCTCATGCTAAATGCACAACTGAGCTTTGGAATACAATAATGAACAGAAGCGGCTTTAATCAGAGCAGACAGCTATAGAGCAGCAGAAACGCTCTGGCTGGTACTTTGACATCAGAAGCAAACAAACACCGAACAGAATCAGAAGCATGTGAGGAATTTGCTCAGAGTAAAAGTTCAACAAGCCGAGCTTAAATTCAGCAGAACGGAGGAGATTTAGAGACCCAACAAATCCACAAAGTCTGGAAGGAATCACAAACGAACACAATAGCAGCACGCTTCAGATCCCTGCCACACTCCGCTCTCCAACGGAACAAAAAAAGGCCGTTTCTAACCAACTGGAACCACGACAGCAGAATCGTGTGATTGTGTTTACAGCGTCTGTGAGCGAGGGCAGCTTGGAGGATTTATTAGGTGGAGCTTCACACGTGCGGTTGACTATAGATCACAGATTGAGGGAACGCAGCTCATCCTAAACTCCTGCTAAGAGCCTGCTCAACCAGAAAGATGTCCTGAAACGCTGAACCTGTTTGGTCACATGACTGCAGCGTAGAGAAACCACTGCCGCACGAATGGACGAGTTACTGAAGGACGATAAAGAAGGCTTTACGATAGCGGCTGGGAAATTTCAAAACTTTTTTAAGGAAGCAAACTGAGAATTTGTGGAGATATCTAGCGATTCATCATTCATAACCCCTTGTTTCCCAATGAAGGTGGCAGATGCTCTTCTAACAACAAATACTAAACAGATCTTACACGTGAAGCCTGCAGACGCAGTCCGTCTGAGATTCTTTTCTTTTAAATTAGCTTTTTTTTTAATCAGGCTCCTATGTTTAGGTTCAGTCATTTCACTTTGATGGCAAAGAAAAGGTTACGAGTCAGTTATTGAATGCCTTGTTTTCAAAAATGTCCAATGTTATTTTCACAGGAGCCTGATAAAAACGCTAATTTAAAAGAAAGATATCTGACTGACTTAGAAGCTTTTGCATGTGAAGTCTTCATATGGAGTTACATTTGTGCCAAAAGTGTCGACTGGCTGGTTCAGTGCATTTGTCCAGGTCAGCGGTGGTCTTTTCTTCAGATCAGTTTTATGCTTTACATTCCGTAATATTCTACAAACATCCAGCTAAACAAACAGAACAATTATTTTTTTAAATAATAGTTTCTAAAACTTTCAGATGCATTTAGTTTTCTGTTCTATAAATGTGAATAGATCTTTAGTCTACAGTGATATTTTGTCATAATATTCAGCGATTTAGAAAGATGGTGAGAAGCTCACTACTGAACAAATCTGCTAATTTATCTGGATATCCGATAGCAGAAACTAAAACACAAATGAATGACACAAAACAACAGCAGCCAGACAGATTTTGGCACAAACTGAACTCGTGTGAAAATGTGTGAAACGTGGGAAAAGAAACCATGAACATATGCACTTCTGTTATATTATCTGAACGGACATCCCTGCATGCGCAGAGCAGATGGTATGGTCAGTTGTTTTAGCCGATTACAGAAGAGACTGTGCATCTGAAGCTCTTGACCTGTGTGTTTACGGGTGAATCTAGAGAGCTGAAACCAGGGTTTGGCCTAACAAACAGCTGAGAGTCACGGCGAGCGCTGGTGCTCAGGACGCGTCTGACGGGACGTGCTCCTCGAAGCCCTCGCTCTCGCGCACCAGTGCTCTCTCCAGGATCACGCGGCCCTCCTTGTAGCGCTGGCTGTCCTCGGTGGCGAACTCGTAGATCCAGCCCAGCTTGCTGTTGCAGTTCTTGCAGCTGACGTCTCGCACCATGTGTCTGCCGGTCAGCATCACGCGGTCCTGCACCTCACTGTACTGCAGGTTCACCACCTGAAACACATCACAGGACGTTAGCGTTAGCGCTGCATTGGCGACCGGCCTGGTGTCGCACACGTGCCTTGTTGAAGAGGAAGGCTCGTCCGGTGGCGCCGGTGAAGCGTGTGGAGATCAGCTCGGAGCGGTTGGTCAGGATGGTGTCGCAGTTAGCGCAGGAGAAGAGGCGCGTGCCGCCGATGTGATCCAAGAAGATGCGGCCCATGATCCACACAGACACACCTGTGAGAGCCAGAGACAGCGTTACACACACACCTGTGAGAGCCAGAGACAGCGTTACACACACACACACACTCACTCACTCACTCACTCACTCACTCACTCACTCACTCACTCACTCACTCACTCACTCACTCACTCACTCACTCACTCACTCACTCACTCACTCACTCACTCACTCACTCACTCACTCACTCACTCACTCACTCACTCACTCACTCACTCACTCACTCACTCACTCACTCACTCACTCACTCACTCACTCACTCACTCACTCACTCACTCACTCACTCACTCACTCACTCACTCACTCACTCACTCACTCACTCACTCACTCACTCACTCACTCACTCACTCACTCACTCACTCACTCACTCACTCACTCACTCACTCACTCACTCACTCACTCACTCACTCACTCACTCACTCACTCACTCACTCACTCACTCACTCACTCACTCACTCACTCACTCACTCACTCACTCACTCACTCACTCACTCACTCACTCACTCACTCACTCACTCACTCACTCACTCACTCACTCACTCACTCACTCACTCACTCACTCACTCACTCACTCACTCACTCACTCACTCACTCACTCACTCACTCACTCACTCACTCACTCACTCACTCACTCACTCACTCACTCACTCACTCACTCACTCACTCACTCACTCACTCACTCACTCACTCACTCACTCACTCACTCACTCACTCACTCACTCACTCACTCACTCACTCACTCACTCACTCACTCACTCACTCACTCACTCACTCACTCACTCACTCACTCACTCACTCACTCACTCACTCACTCACTCACTCACTCACTCACTCACTCACTCACTCACTCACTCACTCACTCACTCACTCACTCACTCACTCACTCACTCACTCACTCACTCACTCACTCACTCACTCACTCACTCACTCACTCACTCACTCACTCACTCACTCACTCACTCACTCACTCACTCACTCACTCACTCACTCACTCACTCACTCACTCACTCACTCACTCACTCACTCACTCACTCACTCACTCACTCACTCACTCACTCACTCACTCACTCACTCACTCACTCACTCACTCACTCACTCACTCACTCACTCACTCACTCACTCACTCACTCACTCACTCACTCACTCACTCACTCACTCACTCACTCACTCACTCACTCACTCACTCACTCACTCACTCACTCACTCACTCACTCACTCACTCACTCACTCACTCACTCACTCACTCACTCACTCACTCACTCACTCACTCACTCACTCACTCACTCACTCACTCACTCACTCACTCACTCACTCACTCACTCACTCACTCACTCACTCACTCACTCACTCACTCACTCACTCACTCACTCACTCACTCACTCACTCACTCACTCACTCACTCACTCACTCACTCACTCACTCACTCACTCACTCACTCACTCACTCACTCACTCACTCACTCACTCACTCACTCACTCACTCACTCACTCACTCACTCACTCACTCACTCACTCACTCACTCACTCACTCACTCACTCACTCACTCACTCACTCACTCACTCACTCACTCACTCACTCACTCACTCACTCACTCACTCACTCACTCACTCACTCACTCACTCACTCACTCACTCACTCACTCACTCACTCACTCACTCACTCACTCACTCACTCACTCACTCACTCACTCACTCACTCACTCACTCACTCACTCACTCACTCACTCACTCACTCACTCACTCACTCACTCACTCACTCACTCACTCACTCACTCACTCACTCACTCACTCACTCACTCACTCACTCACTCACTCACTCACTCACTCACTCACTCACTCACTCACTCACTCACTCACTCACTCACTCACTCACTCACTCACTCACTCACTCACTCACTCACTCACTCACTCACTCACTCACTCACTCACTCACTCACTCACTCACTCACTCACTCACTCACTCACTCACTCACTCACTCACTCACTCACTCACTCACTCACTCACTCACTCACTCACTCACTCACTCACTCACTCACTCACTCACTCACTCACTCACTCACTCACTCACTCACTCACTCACTCACTCACTCACTCACTCACTCACTCACTCACTCACTCACTCACTCACTCACTCACTCACTCACTCACTCACTCACTCACTCACTCACTCACTCACTCACTCACTCACTCACTCACTCACTCACTCACTCACTCACTCACTCACTCACTCACTCACTCACTCACTCACTCACTCACTCACTCACTCACTCACTCACTCACTCACTCACTCACTCACTCACTCACTCACTCACTCACTCACTCACTCACTCACTCACTCACTCACTCACTCACTCACTCACTCACTCACTCACTCACTCACTCACTCACTCACTCACTCACTCACTCACTCACTCACTCACTCACTCACTCACTCACTCACTCACTCACTCACTCACTCACTCACTCACTCACTCACTCACTCACTCACTCACTCACTCACTCACTCACTCACTCACTCACTCACTCACTCACTCACTCACTCACTCACTCACTCACTCACTCACTCACTCACTCACTCACTCACTCACTCACTCACTCACTCACTCACTCACTCACTCACTCACTCACTCACTCACTCACTCACTCACTCACTCACTCACTCACTCACTCACTCACTCACTCACTCACTCACTCACTCACTCACTCACTCACTCACTCACTCACTCACTCACTCACTCACTCACTCACTCACTCACTCACTCACTCACTCACTCACTCACTCACTCACTCACTCACTCACTCACTCACTCACTCACTCACTCACTCACTCACTCACTCACTCACTCACTCACTCACTCACTCACTCACTCACTCACTCACTCACTCACTCACTCACTCACTCACTCACTCACTCACTCACTCACTCACTCACTCACTCACTCACTCACTCACTCACTCACTCACTCACTCACTCACTCACTCACTCACTCACTCACTCACTCACTCACTCACTC